TAACCAGAAGGCTGGCGGTTCAAACCCACCAGCCACTCCTCGGAAGGAAGGTTGGGCATTCCTACTTCCGTAGTGATACTGCCTCGGAAACCCAAGGAGGGGTCGCTATGAGTCAGGTCTGACTCGATGGCACACAACAACAACAACAACCCACTCTCCCAAGCTCCTGAACCACCAGTGGCTGAGCCTTCCATCAGGTGCTCAGCCTCAGCCCCCTTACTGTGTTTATGCATCTGTGTCTCTGCCTACCCACCCTACCCACTGTTGGAAGCCACATCACTTCTTTATACTTCCCACAGTGTTCAGCACAGTATAAACTTTCAGGAGACAGTTATTAATTGATTTAGCTTTGCAATTTCCTTAGCTAGAATCTTTATCCTCTGTGGTCATTTTCTTATTAAAAGACAAAACCACAGATCCCTTGCACTCTCAGCATTTAAAGATTTTTCTGTTTCCTCACTGGCTTTTCCTTTCCCAGAATCCTTTTATAGGAAAGGTTCTGACTTCCAGACCTCAACCTCTGTACACTGGGAGCCCTTCACTTGGCCTGTTATAGTCCATCAGCCCCACTCTGAGGAGACCAGGGATGCTCTATCAACTCTTAAATCTCCATCTGTCTGCCCTAATAAACCACATGCTTGCTCACACTGGACCCATTGAGGTCTCTGGGACAGCCAAGGTCTGTTGTCTTGAAGTTGCATTAACTTCCCTGATCATGATATCTCATGGATGTCCATTGGGGAGGAGAGAGCTGGGTGTCACATAAACCTGAAACAGCGGCCATGCCCAGTCCCATCCCATAGCTGTGATTTGCCCCAGTGGCAGGCCACATTCTTGCTTGGGAGCTGGGCCAGGCAAGTGGAGTTTCCCAGGATGGCATCCTTGGCCCCCTTCATTTTTGTTCTGCAATGTTCACTACTCCTGTCACCCTTTTGTTGGCAACTGTACCCCCTACACAAATGTAGTCATCACCTGTTTTGTGATCAGATATAAAGTAACCACCTGCCTGAGTTATCTAGTGCTGCTATAACAGGAATACCACAGGTAGATGGCTCCAATAAACAGAAATACATTCTGTCACAGTTTAGGAGACTAGAAGTCTGAATTCAGAGTGCCAGCTCTAGGAGAAGGCTTTTTTTCTTTGTGTCTCCTGGTCCTAGGAGGTTCCCAACACAGGAACCCTGGGTCTAAAGGATGCACTCTGCTCCCTGCTCTTCTTACTTGATGGTTGTTGTTGTTGTTATGTGCCGTCGAGTTGGATCCGACTCATAGCAACCCCTCCTTGGGTTTCCGAGGTGGTATCACTACAGAAGTAGATTGCCCAACCTTCCTTCCAAGGAGTGACTGGTGGGTTTGAACCACCAGCCTTCTGGTTAGCAGTCAAGTGCCTTAGGCACTAAGCTACCAGAGCTCCCTACTTCATGGTATTAGGTCCTTATCTCTCTCAATTCTGTCTCCTTTTATCTCTTGTAAGATGGAAGGTGTTGCAGGCCACATCCCAAGGAAACTCCCCTTAACATCAGATCAGGGCTGTAATGGGATTAAGGGTGTTGCATCCCCCCCTAATCCTCTTACAACTGATTGACTTACCACATCAGATCCATCATAAACCAACAAATGAAGCCAAGCTCACTGCCATTGAGTAGGTTCCAACTTACAGCAACCCCTCCTCAGGAAGTAGACTGCCCAGTCTTCCTTCCAAGGAGTGGCTGGTGGATTTGAACTGCCAGCCTTCTGGTTAGCAGTCTGGTGGTACTACACAACCAGAGCTCCTTAGGGTCAAAACTAAGGGACCTAATTTTCAGAATAAGTAGCCTATCACACAAAATTTAAAATGCACAAAATGATAGAAGATAAAATAAATAATTATGATCTCCTAAAAATTAAATACTTATACTCATCAAAAGACTTTATGAAGAGGGTAAAAAGAGAAACTATAGACAGGAACTCTGGTGGCATACTGCCTAAGCCATTTCACTGCTAACCAGAAGGATGGTGGTTCAAACCCACCAACTACTCTATGGAAGGAAGGCTAGGCAATCTACTTCCATAGAGATACGGCCTCGGAAACCCAAGGAGGGGTCGCTATGAGTCAGCTCTGACTCAGTGGCAAAAGTCACCAACAACAACAATGGCTAACGATTTCAAGAATCTTTTCATGTATTTGTTGGCCACTTGAATGTCCTCTTTGGATTGTTTGTCTTTTTGTTGCTGAGTTATTGAAGTTTTCTATATATTTTAGAGATTAAACCATATCACCCCTGCAAAAAATGGCAGTGATCAAAAAAACAGAAAACAACAAATGCTGGTGAGGTAACAGGAGGACTGGAACCCTTATACATTGTTGGTGGGATTGTAAAATGGTATAGCCATTATGGAAAATACTATGATTGTTCCTCAAAAAGCTAGAAATGGAAATACCTTATGATCCAGCAATCCCATATATCCTAGAGATATAAGAGCAGTGACACAAATAGACATATGCACACCTATATTCATTGCTGCATTGTTCACAATAGCAAAAAGATAGAAATAATCTTGAGTGCCCATCAATGGATGAATGGATTTACAAACTGTGGTACATACACATAAAGTGGAATAAGTACACAACTATAAAAAATAATGAGGACTCTGTGAAACATCTTTTAAACATGAATGAATCTAAAGGACATTATGCTGAGTGAAATAAGTCTCATGAAAAGACAAATACTGTATGGTACCACCATTATAAAAAAATCAAGAGTAGTTATACACATAGAAAGCAAAGTTTTTTATTGGTTACCAAGGAAGTGAGGGAAAGGAAGTCACTTGTTACTTTTGGTGATGAGAAAGACAGGACCACATATGGGTAAAGTCAACAGAACATGACCAAGGTAAATAAAGACACTAAGAACAACAGGAGAAAAACGGACAAGTATGATAAATGCTATAGCATGTACAATTTTGCAACAGTAGTAAATATAACCAAGAAATATGTGTGCAGTAACATGGGTAGATATGGCATACATGCATATAGAAAGGCACACACAAGTAAAAGCACATACGTGTATAGGTGTATCTATAGTCATGTATATACATGTTTGTGTGTACTGTATATATATCCACATATATAACAAACTACATAGGGGGCACAAAGGCTTTCTAGACATGTCCAAAGAACTCATGGGATTGATTTATTGGCTCAAGGGCCTTGGGACCATAGTCTTGGGGAGGAAGTTTAATCAATTAGTGTAGCATAGTTCACAAACATAACATTCTACATCTGAGTTTGGTGAGTGGCATCTGGGGTCTTAAAAGCTTATAAATGCCCATCAGGATACGACTGTTGGTCCCTACTTGGACAGAGCAAGAAAGAACGATGGGAATCAAAAGATCAGAGAAGAAACCAATCCACGGGACTAATAGCCCATATGAACTACAGCCTCTTCAAACCTGAGACCAGAACTAGATGGTGCCCAGCTACCAATACTGACCATTCTGACCAGGGATACAATAAAAGGTCCAAGATAGAATAGAAGAAATATGTAGAGCAAAACTCAAATTTCTTAAGAGTCCAGACCAACTGGACCGAAAAAGATTAGAGGAATCCTCAACACTGTCATCCAAGATAACCTGTAAACATGGAACTGAAGCTCTTTCTGCAGGTTACCCTTCAGCCAAATAATAGATTGGTTTATAAAATAAACAGTATCACCCATGAGTAATGTGCTCCCTGAAACAATTAATACATGAGACCAAACGGTCAATATTTACCCAGAAACAAAGGTGAGAAGCCAAGGAGGGGAGGGGAAGCTAGATCAATGGAAACAGAACAGACAGAATGGAAATAATGACAATACTAATAGACTGTAAAAATCGTAACCAATGGCATGGAACAATTTGTATAAAAATTATTAAAGAGGAACCTAATATTTTTAATATGTACTGTTAGAATAATCAGAGTAATCACAAACATCCTGGAAGAGGTGACTAGCAAATCAGAGGACAGTTCTGGTCAGGAGAGCAAGTCCAATATCTGAGAGCAGTTGCTCACATTTGCTAGTGATTCACTAAGAACTAAAAACAGATCACCAGTCCTTCATAACAAATGTTGTTGTTGTTATGTGCCGTCGAGTCAGACCTGACTCATAGCGACCCCTCCTTGGGTTTCTGAGGCAGTATCACTATGGAAGTAGATTGCCCCATCTTCCTTCGAGGAGTGACTGGTGGGTTTGAACCGCCAGCCTTCTGGTTAGCAGTCAAGTGCCTTAGGCACTACACTACCAGAGCTCCCTCATAACAAATAGCACTTGTCAATAATTAATTAACTTGATTACCGTTTAAACAGAACCCACTAAAATTTAGAACTGTAAATTTTTATCTGGGAAAGCTGGCCTTGGTAGACAGGTTACTTACTCACCAGTGAAAACTCACAAAGGTATAAGCTGTTATGGAAAATTTGATATAGATTAAAAAAATAGTTGGGGAGTCAAATCTTCGTTGTAATACTTACATAGGAATAAATAGGTTCAATTAAAACAGCTTGAGTAAAATGGAAGCAGAAGTTAATTGGGAACAATTTATCTGTCTTGTATAGTAAAGTAGGACCTCTGGTGGCATAGTGCCTAAGGCATTTGACTGCTAACCAAAAGGCTGGTAGTTCAAACCTACCAGCCACTCCTCAGAAGGAAGACTGGGCAATCTACTTTCATAGAGATAATGACTCAGAAACCCAGTGAGGGGTCACTATGAGTCGGGGTCGACTCGACGGCAGTGAGTTTGGTGGGGTTTTTTTTTTTTTTGGTATAGAAAATTAATCAGGGAAGTTAATGTGGCCCTAATAGCATTTTCTCTTTGTCAGTAAATATCCATCAGTATCATAATTCTGAACAGTCTGCATGTTTTTGGGATCAGTATGTCCTATCCATGTGTGGGTGGTTGCTGCTTTCAAATGACTGTTTCCACCATGCAACATGAGAGCTGGTGGAACACCCAGTCTAACCCTTTCCTCTTTCTTGCAGGGGGCAGTGCCCAAAGGAAATGCCACTAAAGAATTCATCGAGAGTTTACAGCTGAAACCTGGGCAGGTGGTGTACAAGTGTCCCAAGTGCTGCAGCATCAAACCTGACCGGGCCCACCACTGCAGGTACAGCCCACCTGGGCTCACTTCCTGCTCGCTTTCTCCCCTCACCTTCCACCCACCTCTTTCTCCTCCCTCCCATACTCTGGAGTAGCACACACCTCTCCTACAGGTGCCAAGTCAGCAACAGGACCTCTGAGCATCCCCTGCTCTGGGTATAAAGTACTAATTATAAGTCTCCCTCCAGTCCCAGTGAGCTCACTAGATTAGAAAGGTCATTTGGTTTGGGGACTCTGCTACATGTGACATAGGACCTTGGGCAGGCCCTTGTCTCTGCCTTTGGTTCCGTGTCTAAAACCAAGGCAATCCCTGCTCTTCCTACCTCACAGCTTTATTACGAAGTCACAAAGAGAGAAAACTAGGAAATTGTGGCTGTCTGGTACTTACATATTTAAGAGGTTGGCTTTATTCATTTATATTTTACAGATAAATGAAGGAGTTGTCCTTGAATGGAGGCTTTTCCTTAAAGCAAAACAGAACCTCTAGAGGTTATGGCAGTGTGTGGAATTCAACCAAAAAAAGCCATTTCCTTATCTTATCTGTGGTAATCTTTTGTTGGTTTTGAGGTTTCTTTGTTCTTGTGATTCTTCTTGACTAGAAGATTTCAATTATATATTGCACTATGTATTAGGTGAAAGTTTAACTTTAAATGCTAAAGTACAAAAATACAAAAATGTCCCTCTGTGTCTGTTTCAGACTGGTGTGTGTCTGCGGTGGGGAGATGTTGTGGGGGAATGGACTTGCTCCTGATGTCAGGAGGACACACTCATCAGTCGGAGGCTGGGGAGCCATTTGGGCTGTAGGAGAGATCAGAGCATCTGAAGGGTAGCATTGCTGTGTGGGCCTCACTGCCCACCTGTCAAAGGACAACAGTCTCAGCAATCTGAATCCATAAACAGCTCTTAACTACTTACTGTGTCCCAGGCCCCTCCAATCCTGTCTCATCATCAGTCAGCTTACTCAAGTCCTCATGATCAGCCCTATAGATAAGAATTGCTATAGGAATGTTTCTCCCTAGATGAGGAAATTAGGGCTCAAAGGGGTTAAGTGACATCTCCAAGGTGACACAGCTGGTGAGTACTAGAGACAGGATTGGGTCCCAGTGGTTCTGAGTCAATGTCCAGGGCTCCTTCCACTAGAAGTCCAGCTTGGGGCTGACTCTTGTAACTTTATATAATTGTGTGTGTCTGTGGTAGTTAGGTTTGTGCGTCAACTTGGCTGGGCCTGGTTGAGTGGCTGCTGGTGGTAGTTACTTCTTATGATGAGACTAGCAGTCAACTCCATGGTGGGATCTACCACAAGCAGCTGAGTAGCTGCCTTTGGGTATGTAGTCTGCTTCCCATATATAAGCAGCAGCTTTGAGAGTGGTCTCTGGCCTATGGCATGCTTGGACCCTGCATGTAGCCGTGTCATTGCTCAGCAGCCTGCTATGCTCTGCCAACCTTGGGACTTATAATGGACTTAAGTTAATGGCCTGCTGTGTGGTTTGGTAATATTGGGACTGTGCCTGTTCACTTGTCAACCTTGGGGCTTCTCAGCCTCAGCAGCAGCAGCTGTCTGAGTGAAGAAATGCCTCTAGCTCCAGTGGGCCAGGAGCAAGAGGCAGAGCTGGACCCCAAGGTTGAGGGGCTTTCACCCAGTCCCTAGAGCCTGGCACTTTGAACTTGGACTTAAAGCCTCCAAACTGTAAGAATAAACTCCTATTTGTTAAGGCCATCCTATTTGTGGTATATTTTCCTATCAGAGCGGTACTAGGTAACCAGAACAGTGTCTACCTTCCTAAATGTTTGAGAAAGACTTGAAGATCTCTCCAACTAAATTCCACCTGCTTGAGAGTGAGGGCAAGGAGTCTGCCTCTGTGGGTATTCTGCTTCATGTAGCTTGGGAAAGGGCCCAGGGTGATTACTGTCTCTTATAAGGTTTTCTGTCTGTGAGTGAACTTGCATCTCAGATCTATGTTAGAAACTAAGTCATGACTTGCTCCTTGTGCCTGAGATGGAGATGTCAGTATAGTCTTTTCCTGCCACCCAGAGGCTTGAGAGCCAGCTGTTTTCTAAGCATCCCCCAAATGAAAAGGCCCAGTGTGCTTATGTGATTTCTCAGGCAGCCCAGTGGGGTGGAGCGGGCTGTGGCCTGAAGCTGGGAAGGTTAACACGGGAAGTCTAGAAGTCTAGCACTATCTCTGCCACAATGTGGGACCTTTGGCCACTCACTGCACCTCTCTGAACCTCAGCTTCTTCCTCTGTGAAAAGAGTGAAATAAGAGTTGTTCCTCTCTTGTTTGCTGTGAAGATTAAATACGAATCACTGTAAGTCACCTAGCTCAATAAGCGGAAGCTCTTTGTTAATGGAGAATGTGTGAGGAGTTGGGCAGATGCTGGCTTTGTAAAGGCTGGACCAAAACAAGAGGTATTAACTTTGTTAGAAAGAACTTCTGGGGACACCACAGTGGTTTTTTTCTCTTCCCTGCCTGAGTCCTAGGCCACCTCCCCTGCCTGGCATTTTCCTCACCACCTCCTACCCGCCTCTCTCCCCAGGATGATCCAAGGGAGGTATTTTTGAGTGCTAGTAAACAAATCAGCTTGAACAAAAACAAGAGTTGCTGATTCAGATGAACTCAAGTGAGGATGCCTGTGAGTTGCCCATTCCTGCCTCAGGACGCGTGTGCTGATAACTGCTCTTTTGTGGTGGCACACAGGTGGCCCAAGCCATCTGGGGGCTCGCAGTTTGGGATAAACAGAACGCCAACACTCCAGACAGAGCTGGGTTGTTTGTGACTGGTTGAGCTGAGCAGCCTGTTATCCGGTTGGGGAAAGTCAGTGTCAGTCTTGCCTGCTCAGGCAAAGATGAAGGTGTGTACCCATGTCTGTGCCCAGGTTTTTGATCTCTCTCCTCCTCGGGGAGTCCAGAGCCTTCTGAGATCACCTCTGAGCTCTGGGATATATCACGAGCATACCCAGACCAGCCCGTGTCAGTGCTCCTTCCTGCCCTGTAGGTATACATGGGTCTGTCTCTTGAGACAGGCACCCTGGAACCCTGGCTACTTGCATCCTGGGTTTGAGTCTCTTATTCATGAGATCCATGGAGGCATTTAGAAATCCTGTGGAGATAACCATTTATGCTGTTGTGGAAAACTGAAGTGTTAGGCTTGTGCATTAGGTTCTTTTTGTACAAAGAGGCAGGGAGACCTCTGACCTTGGCCAGGATTCACTTCCATCCTCACTTCCATCCCTGGCTCATATGCTCCATCAACAACAAGCTGAGAAAGTCATGGGCTGCTTAGAGCCCCTGCTAGCTTCTTGTTGTTTGTCTTTCTTTACAGATGTTATGGTTATGATTGCTGGTAAAATGTATATAGCACTGTATGATTTTTTTTTTTTTTTTTTAATTAGGATTTGGGTGAAGATTTACAGAGTAAATTCACTTTTCATACAGCAGTTCACATATACTTTGTCTCATGTCATTGACC